ACTGGCCAGAGTGTCCCAGTTGTCCTTTGCAGCCATTTTCCCCAAACCATGCCCACCAGACTCAAGAACTACCCACCTGCCTTTCCAAGTCAGTTTGTTTGCCCCCATCCAGCCCACCAGGTTACACACCGGGATGCTGGAATAAAGAAGTGAAGGTCCATTGCTGGAAATGAAAGCCCAGCTGTCACCCATATCATCATATGACTTCAGCGGAATGCACAGAACACACTAGTAGAAACAGGCACTTGTTATATCGGCAGATCCTGAGATTACTTTTTGATGGTGTATAAAATAAGAGAAGGGATGCGGGTGGCGCTGTGGGTAAAAGCCTCAGCGCCTAGGGCTTGCCGATCGAAAGGTCGGCGGTTCGAATCCCCGCGGCGGGGTGCACTCCTGTTGTTCGGTCCCAGCGCCTGCCAACCTAGCAGTTCGAAAGCACCTCCGGGTGCAAGTAGATAAATAGGGACCGCTTACTAGCGGGAAGGTAAACGGCGTTTCCGTGTGCGGCTCTGGCTCGCCAGAGCAGCAATGTCACGCTGGCCACGTGACCCGGAAGTGTCTCCGGACAGCGCTGGCCCCCGGCCTCTAGAGTGAGATGGGCGCACAACCCTAGAGTCTGTCAAGACTGGCCTGTACGGGCAGGGGTACCTTTACCTTTACCTAAAATAAGAGAGGGACGCGGGTGGCGCTGTGGGTAAAAGCCTCAGTGCCTAGGGTTTGCCGATCGAAAGGTAGGCAGTTCGAATCCCCGCGGCGGGGTGCGCTCCCGTTGCTCGGTCCCAGTGCCTGCCAACCTAGCAGTTCGAAAGCACCCCCGGGTGCAAGTAGATAAATAGGGACCGCTTTCTAGCGGGAAGGTAAACGGCGTTTCCATGTGAGGCTCTGGCTCGCCAGAGCAGCTTTGTCACACTGGCCACGTGACCCGGAAGTGTCTCCGGACAGTGCTGGGCCCCGGCCTCTTGAGTGAGATGGGCGCACAACCCTAGAGTCTGTCAAGACTGGCCTGTAGGAGCAGGGGTACCTTTACCTTTTTAAAATAAGAGAGGAGCATGACTAAGATGATCAAGGGTCTGGAAACCAAGCCTAATAAGGAGCAGTTGAAGGAGTTGAGTATGTTTAGCCTGGAAAAGAGGAGACTGAGAGGAGATATGATAGCCATCTTCAAATACCATAAGGGCTGTCACATGGAAGAGGGAGCAAGCTTGTTTTCTCCGGCTCTAGAGGGTAGGACCCAAACCAATGGCTTCAAGTTACAAGAAAGGAGATTCCTACTAAACATACAGAAAATCTTTCTGACAGTAAGACCTGTTTGACAGTGGAACAGTCTCCCTCAGGAGGATGTGGACTCGCCTTCATTGGATGTTTTTAAGCAGAAGTTGGGCAGCCACTTAGATTCTTGCATTGCAGGGTGTTTTGGGCTAGATGACCCTCAATATCCCTTCCAGCTCTACAGTTCTGATTCTATAGAAGTTGCAGGCATCATGAAACTTAACATGCAGCCTGACCTCATGGCTGCTGCTTACAACATTTAGCCTAATTTCTGGACTGCCACCACCCCACTTCATGATTCCAACCAGAGGCGCCAGCTTCCAGAGGAGAATGGGGGAGCCGATGTTGCGTGGCACATGACGTTGTGCACATGGCGTCCCAATATCCTGTGTGTGATGTCAGGATGTCAGAGAAGCTGGGTGTGGAGCTGAAAGCAGTGGCAGTGCAGCTTCAATGTCCACGGCTCCTCCTCCTGCCACCACCGAAGGAGCTGGCCACTGAAGCGGCGCAGTGCTTGGTCTCTTCCTCCACTTTTGAACACGGGGGCAACCCCCCTCCAAATATATTGGGGTGATCCAAAAGGGCTCAGTCTCTAGGCAATGCCCCCCCTTGCTTTGCTTGATGGAGAGCCCTGGACTTGGAATCTTGCTATTTTTATGACATTTCAGCTATACAGCTGCAAATAAAACATTTTGTGTTTTAAGTGCAATATACAATGTGACACTAGATGGCGAGTCTTACAGAAAATTCAATGTATTTTTAAAAAACACTTTAAAAAAGATTTTTGGAATGGTTTTTATTATATGTGTGTAGATTCCACCATTATGCCTGGTTTCCAGCTAAGTTTTTTGGAGGGTTGTTTCTTCTTCTTCTTCTGGACTAGCACAGCCTTTTCTATATTTTTACATAAATCCACAAGCTCTGTCTGAGCAGAAAGGACAATAAGTCTTGTATTTCTCCATCTATGCAGAAGGTAAAGATGATGGTGGTGAAGATGACAGTTCTCCTTAAATCCCCAATCGCTGACTATCAGCAGAGATGGATGGTGATGATTTTTCATATAAGCCAGCAAGGAAAAAAAGAGTAATAACATTTTCTTTGCTTTGTTATAAAAAAGTAATGCCATATGACTTTTTGTTTTTGCTTTGTTATATAAAAAATTAATATAAAAAAATGTAATGCAGCACTTTCCATTTATAAGAAAACACTGAAGTGGTTTCAATCAGCAAAAATTGCAAAACATTTTTTAGTAGGGGCAATCAGAATACGATCTATCATTTGATTACAAATCACCAGAATGTATTTTGTATAGTTAAGTTTTTACCTTTATGTTCAGAAGTAGTTGTTTTTTATTGCTATGGCTAGTGGCTGGATATGGAAACGCTACAAAACCCATGTCTAAAAATAAAATGAAATAAAAAGTGTGTGTGAATGGGAAATATTTTTTTTGGGGGAGTGGTATGCATTTTCTCTTCAAAAACCCACATTGCGGGGGGGGGGGGGATTTGGTTGGTCGGTTTGCCAACTTGAATGAAATTTTCTTTTTTCTTCTTCTTTTTCTTTGGTGATAACTTGTAGTGGAGTACAATTGTCTTCCATAAACATGGTTTTAACAATGAGTCCGTAAGTGACTGTGGAGGCCAATTCTGGATTCACACGTCCTTCCACAGTGGAGACATTGGTTTCTGGGTGGGAGTTGATCACGGTGTGGATTTGCCAAGCATGCCTTCTTCCTAACACGTCCTTGCGTCCTGAGTTTGAGTGTCTTCAAAGCCCATGACACTTTTGGTAAAGGCTGTTCTCCAACTGGAGTGCTTGCAGGCCAGTGTTTGTCACCCAGTTGTCAGTGTTTATACTACATTTTTTTAGGTTTGCCTTGAGGCAGTCTTTAAACCTCTTTTGTTCACCACCAGCATTACGCTTTCCATTTTTTAAGTTTCGAATAGAGTAGTTGCTTTGGAAGGCGATCACAAGGCATCTGCACATGACCAGTCCAACAAAGTTGATGTTGAAGAGTCATTGCTTCCACACTGGTGATCTTTTCTTCTTCCAGTACACTGATATTAGTTCGCCTGTCTTCCCAAGTGATGTGTAAAATTTTTCGGAGACACCGTTGATGAATCTTTCAAGGGGTTAGAGATGGCGTTTATAAGTGCTCCATGTTTCACAAGCATATAGTAAGGTTGGTAGTACAATAGCTATGTAAACAAGCATTTTGGTTTCCCTGCAAATGTCCCGGTCCTCAAACACTCTGCACTTCAATCGGGAGAAAGCTGCACTCGCAGAGCTCAGGCGATGCTGGATTTCAACATCAATGTTGGCCCTTGTGGAAATATAACTACCTAGGTAGGAGAAGTGATCCACATTTTCCAACGTTACCATTGAGTTGGATTTGTAGCGCTGCAGAGGGGTTATTTTGCACTTGTTGGTGTATCACTTTGGATGTTGAGTGATAGGCCAAGCTTTTTGTAAGCTTCTGCAAAGATATTTTGGATGGTTTGGAGGCCATCCTCTGAGTGTGCGCACACTACGTTGTCATCAGCATACTGAAGCTCCATGACGGAAGTTACGGTAACCTTACTCTTTGCTTTCAGCCTGCTCAGACTGAAGAGCTTTCCATCTGTTCGATATATGATTTCTACTCCGGTGGGGAGTTTCCCTTCGACAAAGTGTGGGATCATGGCAATGAAAATAATGAATAGAGTTGGGGCAGTAACACAACTCTGTTTAACACCTGATCCCACTGTGAATGGTTCACTTTGAGAGCCATTGTTATCTGCAATTGTTGCTGTCGTATTATCACAGAGGGGCCGAATGATGTTTACAAATCTATCTGGGCAGCCAATTTTCAGAAGGACAGTCCACAGGGCATTACAATTTACAGTGTCGAAAGCCTTAGTCAGGTCAATAAATGCCATATACAGGGGTTGGTTTTGCTCTCTGCATTTTTCTTGAAGCTGTCAAGCAGTGAAAATCATGTCCGCTATCCCCCTAGAAGGCCGAAAACCATTTTGGGATTCAGGAAGGGTCACCTCGGATATTGTTACGAGAGGGTTTGCTAAGATCCTTGCAATAATTTTGCCGGCCGCAGCTAATAGATGCCTTGACAGGTTCCACAATCAGTTCTGTCACCTTTTTAAAAAAGAGATTGGTAATGGTGACATCTCTAAAGTCTGCTGGGTCTTCTTCTGTTTCCCAGATTATTTCGATGAGCTTGTGAAGTTGTGTAAATTCAATTCCGCCCACCTTGAAGACTTCAGCAGGTATCCCATCAGGTCTGCTGTCTTTGTTCTTCATTTGGTTAATAGCTGTACACAGCTCTCCCAGGTTTGGAGATACTGTACTGCAAGCTCATCTCTAACTTGTTTCGGGGGAATTTGTGAGAGGACCTCTGCACCCATGGGAGAGTGGGGGCAGTTCAGGTAAGCCCCTCCCTGATGACATGAGGTGGCGTGTACACACACCCTCTGAATGGCAATGCCCGTCAACTTGCGCCCCCTAAGACCCCTCGGCCCCGGCTCCTCAGATGCTCTGAGGGCAGAATCGGGAGGCCGCCCCGGAATCCCTGAGGCGCCTCCTGAGGAGAAAACGGCCTCGCCTCGCGCCCGCCCGTTCCCGCCTCAGGCAGGCGGAGGCGCTCCCGCCCCCCCCCCCCGCTTGCTCTCTCGCGCGCGGCCCGGCCCCTCCCTCCCCGGCGCCTGCGCAGTACCCGCGCCGACGCTGCTCCCTCCTGCCGCCGTTTGTTATTATTGTGGGTCGCGCGGCGTCGGTTCTCCTCAGCGGCATCGATGGCGGCCGGACAAGGCGGAGGCACCACGGGCGGCGGCGGAGGCGGCGGAGCAGGGGGCTCCGGGCCCAGCTCGGGCCCCGCCGGCCCTCCGCTTTCGTCCCCGCTGTCCCTGCCGCCCCTTCCCCCGCCGCCGCCCCCGCCGCTGCCTCTCCCTCCGCCGCCGCCGCCGCCCTGCTCGGAGTTGGGCCTGCCGGGCTCGGGGTTCTTCGGGCTGCCGGCGCACCTCACGCTCTCGTACCCGGGCACGGGGCCGGCCTGGGCGGCGGGCGGCGGAGGCGCTTCGGGCGGCGGCGGCGGCGGCGCCTCGTCGTCCGCGTCGTCTTCGTCGTCGTCCTCCCCGGCGCCTCCCTCGGGCCGCAGCCTGGAGAAGGCCCTGGAGGAAGCCGGCAGCTCCGGCATCCTCTGCCTCAGCGGCAGGAAGCTCCGGGAGTTCCCGCAAGCCTCCGGAGCAGCGCCCGTGGCCGCCGCCTACGACCTCAGCGACACCACCCAGGCCGGTGAGGAAAGACAGGTGGGGCGGGGGGGGGCGAGGTCTGCGCGTGAGAGAGAGGGGACCAGGGCTCTCTCTGGGGCAGGGGGTGTCCCTTGGCAGAAGGGGCGCGCAGGAGAAGGGCGCGGGAAGGGTGGGCGGCGGAGTGAGGGGTGCGAGGGGAGGGGGAGTTTTCGGATGAATGAATGGGTGGAATGGAGGGGGGACAAGAAGAAGAGGAGCCCGCGGGGAGGAAGGGGGGGGGAGAAGAAGGTGACGGATGTGGGAGTGGGGTGTGTGTGTCGGTCGTTGCATGGAGTGGGGGTCGCCGTGGGGTGGGCTTATTTTGGGCCAGTCACTCAGCCTCACCTGCCTCGCAGGGTTGCGAGGTTGTAAAATGGGGAGGAGGAGAGCGCTGCACTCAGCTGTCATCTGAGGGCAGTCATTCCACCAGGCTTCCTCAGTGCCACATTGGAGTTTTCTTGTGTTTCATTTCCCTCTTCCCTCCTTTCCCCCCTTGTATGCTGTATTTTTGCTCGTTTGTTTGTTAGAATGTAAGTCTGCTGGTAGAGAGCATCTTGTTTTGACTTCATGTAGCCTTTTTTGGCAGACGAATTGGGGGTGCAAGTGCTCCAAATAATGCATGCATGAATGAATGAATGTGTGCCACTTTGAGGTTGCTGGGGGAAAGGTGGGCTATACAGTGGTACCTCGCGTTACAGACGCTTCAGATTACAGACATTTCAGGTTACAGACTCCGCTAACCCAGAAATAGTACCTCGGGTTAAGAACTTTGCTTCAGGATGAGAACAGAAATTGCGACGCTGCAGCGCAGCGGCAGCGGGAGGCCCCATTAGCTAAAGTGGTGCTTCAGGTTAAGAACAGTTTCAGGTTAAGAACAGACCTCCAGAACGAATTAAGTACATAACCTGAGGTACCACTGTAAATGCAATCAGTCAATGAGGGAAAGATAAAAAAGAAGAGTTGAAGGGAGAAGAATTGGGGGCTTGCGGTTGGAGAGGTGCCTGCATGCAAGGAGAGGGGATTGCAAAAAAGGAAGGACGGAAAGGAATGGAAATGGTGTGTGTTTGTGTGTGAATGAGTGAAGATGGAAGCAGGGTTTGTACAAAAGGGTACAGGCTTCAGAAATGGTATTTGTGATTTAGGGGTTTGCTATGGGGGCAGCTAGAGCTGGTTGCTGGAGGTGGAAAAGGGGAAGTGGGAGGAGGCTTGTGTACATTAAGGGAGAGGCGGCCACTGCTGAGGAAGGTGAAGGTGACAAGGGGGGAGTAGTTGCAAGTAGGGGGGCTGGGGAAGATCCAGGCCCTGGGGAAGATCCAGGAAGATCCACGAGGAGGAGGGTGCTATGTGCAAGGAAGGTGCTTGGGGAAGGAGCAGCGTATGAAGGGGAGGGGGGCTGAATTGGCTTTATTGTTTGCTTCTGCAGGAGAAGAAACTAGGGTGGCAGAGGGCTGCGCTGCCAAGGGTGGGGAAGAAGCTTGTAAAGGGGAATCCATTTTTCTCTTTAGGAGAAGAAGTTAAAGAGAGAAATGGATGCTGACTTGAGAAAAGTGGTGTTTTGGGGAGCAAGGTCAAAGCTGCCTTTCTGTGACTGAGTATGATGGAAGGGTGACAGGATTAGCATGTGGCTGGATTACAGGGCTAGGGGCCTAGTTTATTTGTTTACTTTTCAGGAGAGGTTTATTTGTTTACTTTTCAGGAGATGGTTTGGAGCAATTTAAAATCTATCACAAAGATACCATGTAGGATGCATTGGATGTTGGGCTGTTAGGTTAGGCCTGCCCTGCTGATAGAGCTGCAGTGGGAGGCAGGAGCATACCTGCGGGGCTGGCATTGTTGCAGGGAGACAGGGTGTGTGTGGCGGGGTGACATTGTGGGGATGTGAGGACAAGGTTGGATTGAGAGTGGAGCAAGATATTGTACAGTTTGTGGTATGTTGTTGGGATTAGAGCTGCACTTTTGAAGCACAGGGCAGGGGGATGGGGCTGCATTGAGAAGTATGTGTGGGGAATGCGATAATGGATTTGGGAGTAGAGAGGAAAAAAGAGGAGCGCAGCTTGCTGCCAGAAGGAGGGCTGGCCCGAAATGTCGCAGAGCATTTGAGAAGAAGTTCATTGTAGCAGCACAAGATGGAGAGCCTGTGGGGTGGGTTGATATTCTTTTGTAGTGGATGCACAAGGTGTGTGGGAGTGGGTGGGGGATGGGTTTTCATGGGAGAAAAAACCCTGGTACTTTGTGGATTAAGGCTAGGGTTAATCCAAAATGCTACAGAGTTGCTACAGGGATGCTACAGTGAGATAGATTGCAAGTCAGACTTTGCCAGAAAGAGATATTCTCTCTCTCTCTCTCTGTCTGTGTGTGTGTGTATGCGCGCTCACGTGTGTGTAAATGGGATAGGAACTGGGTGCACTGCAGTTGCAAGGTGAAGCTTTGAGGCACAAGGATAGGTTGAGAGAAGGGTTGGGGAATTAGCATAATAGGGATTAGGTCAGTTGGTTAGACTTGCAAGAGAAAAAAGAAGCTGGACGATAGGTGTGATTGTAGGAGAATCATGACAGATTAGTGTCTTGAGTGTGGAATGTCAGATACAAGTGACTGCTTTTAATGGGTTGCTTCTTTTATAAATGATTTGTTTGACTGGGGCACTGGCTTGATGTTTAAATATGCTAATCCAGAGAGGTACAATGCCACAATGCTTCTAGAACATTAAGAAATACACATGATGTGGTTTTGTTTATAAATACAAGCAAAGCAGCATATTGGCTATATATAGATACTTATTAAATTATAATGCAGAGTTCTTATTTGAGGCACTCTTGGGACCAATGTAAATTTAATGGGATTCATAAACTTCAGGAGTAGTCTTGTAGGACTATCCATCAGAGCTGTAAACATTTATGAAATCTTGCTTGGTATTCTTCCATTTCTCAAAACTGAACATTAATGATAGCTTGGAGATTGAGATGGTGGCTTAGAGTGCAGAGTTAGATAATTGATTTATCATTCTGGATGCAAGACTACAGCACCTGTGACTATTCTGTGATCCCATGGTCACTGTTGAGTCCTCATTCTCCATTAATCTCTGTTGAGGGCTGCATTTTGGATCTCTGTTAAGTTCTCTATTTATTGGAAGGAGAAAATCTGGAAAGGCAGATGTGAAATTGGACAGTATTTTGGAGTAATAACTGTTGAGTTTGTTTACCCATTGCATATAAATTTTAGTTGCCTTAGAAACAGTACAATTAAAGCAAGAGATAAAATTAATGAATGTCTCCTGCCTATAAACAGATTCTACTTAAGTATATTGAACACACTAAGATCATTACTATATATAGTGCTATCAGTATTCTTCAATATAAAGATCTTCTGTATAAAATGTCTGTCATATAGCAAAGCTTAGGTCCCCTAAAGAAGTTCATTAACTTGGCACATACATAGTTAATATGCCAAGATGTTTAGTATTAATAATAGGTGGTTTGTGAATAACTGCTGTTAATAACATTATCACTGTTAGTACTTTCTGCATTTCATTTCCTTGCTATTTTCAATCCTCCCAGCTTTGTGTGGACTCTAGGCCAGGCATGGGGAATCTCTGGCCTGTGGGCCTAATTAGATATAGTCAGGGTCGTTATTTGATCTGCAAGACCCCCCCCTGCAGTTCATGCTCTCCTACCCTGCACCTGATTTCATATATGAGGCCAGGTGTGGGGCAGGTAAGGACCCTGCTCCCTACTTAAAGCGAAGTTGTCAGGCACTGCTGATCAGCTGGTTCATGGCACTTACAAAGCTTTGTGTCTTTGCCCTACAATCAAAGAAAAACTTCATCTGACATAATAGTGACATTCAGGGAATTGACAGGTAGCTGGGGTCACCTACCTGTCAAAATGGTCTCTGCGGAAAGATCCCTACTCCTGCCGTGGTCCATGAAAGCTATTATTCCTCAATAAATTTGTTAGGTTTTAAGGTGCCTCATTACTAATTTTTCTTTATACAACAATGCATGTAGACAATGACATCTTAATCATGTACAGTTAACATATCAGGAAGTGATAATCTGCTTTTTTAAAATCAAAGACCATCTTGACAGTGAGTCCTTGAAGGCTTGCTCCCTGTCTTGCAAGCCTTTCCTGGCCTGGGAGGGTGGGGCCCTGAATGACTCCAGCTATGAAAGCTGAGACTGCTGAACATAATCTTGGGCTAGAGCAGGGGTAAGCAAACTTTTTAAGCAGGGGGCCAGTCCACTGTCCCTCAAGCCTTGGGGGCGGGGGCGGACTATAATTTGAAGGGGGGGAAAGAAAAAAATCCTATGCCCCACAAATAATCCAGAAATGCATTTTAAATAAAAGGACACATTCTACTTATGTAAAAACACACTGATTCCTGGACTGTCCGCAGGCCAGATTTAGAAGGTGATTGGGCCGGATCCGGCCCTCAGGCCTTAGTTTGCCTACCCACGGGCTAGAGAATTGTTTAGGATTTTGTTGGGAGGGGGCTATTGCTGTTGTTGCTGTTAATTTTTTTGGATCTTTATTTTGGATCTTATGGTTTATGTGGAATTGGTCCAGTTTGGTTGTGTACTTTTTGATTATATGTTTATGACTACTTTTGTTTGTTGGTAGTTACGTTATTTTGAATATCTTGAGTATAGTCTAAAATTTGGAAAGACGGCTTACAAATAAAACGATTGATTGATTTTACCTGGCTTTAGCAGTGTTAAAGTAAGAAAACGTAATGAAATTTATATTAATGAGGCCCTCTCAGTCAAAATCTCAAAATTTTTTGTTTAAAGCTCTTTGTCAGAGAAAACAAGTGCAGGGGCGGGGAGCAAATTTGAAAGCAGCAATAAAATGTCCACCCTGGTTTCTTGGTTGTATTTTGTGTAGGTTGCTTTACCTTAAAGGAGCTGCTGGTTTACCTTTCAAGCTTCAATACTCTTGAGTTACGAAAGTTTTAAGTGTTTCACCTACCATTTTATAATGTAAGGTACAGCAGTCCAAACCCTCTTTG